TTACAAGTCAATTTTAGTGACACCAACTCCTTTAGCCGTCTAGTTCATTACCACATACCTGAATCCCCAGTTTTTTCTCCAAACTTAATATCAACTCTGGCTCCCTAATCGTTGCTTGCCTCATTTCCCTGAGATCAGAATCTGAAAGAGACATCCCCGACAGTTTTGAAGACTCCAAATCTTATTTCTTCAATTTTTTTCTTTTCAGAGCACGATCTCTCCTTCTAATATCCACTTTCGAAAGAAACTTTTCCTGAAGTGAATATAAGACTCGTACAGATACATTCATGTACCTATGTATTCATGTATCCTAATTAATTAATAGGTAAACTACAGAAATGGCCACTAAAGTTTAAGTAAGTTTTTGTTTTCCCACTGAAATTCCAAAAGTAATAAATTGGTCACTAACGTTATTGATTTATAACAAATTGATCACTCACCGTTAACCTGGCATGTTATAACCACGTTGACTACTCTTTGACTCTTAAAAAATTTACTAAAAAAGATGTCCCACCATCTACCTTTCACCCACTATTGCCTGAAACAGCCATGGCCGAATGCAATACTGCACTTCAAAAAATAATCCCTATAGTGCCTCCCTATATAGATTTTTTTATAGTCGTTGAATGGGAACAACACTTACTGGGAAGCTCAGCAGCAGTAAAGAGCCACGGTTAACATCTTTCCCGCAATCCCCACTCTAAAAGATCTTGAAGAGTAGGCCACCATGGGTGGCGAAAAAGGGAGGAAACACAAGCGATTCCTCGATAAAAGGAGCTAGGTGTTATGCTTTTCATGGAATAGACTTGTTCTGGGTTTGGCCTAACAGCACAAATTTCTCCAATAATGGTGTTTTATTAGATGAATGGCGAGCTGCCATTAACTCGGAGCCTAGGAAACCAGGTGAGTCGCAGTTGATATTAACAATACCCATTCGTTATTTGCCAACAATTGGAATAATAACTTATCCAATCGATTCCATAAGAAGCAATGTTGATTGGGCACATGTTGTGGCATATGATTACCATTTTCCAACAAGGGAGAATTTTACAGGAGACATGCTGTTTTGTATAATCCATCTAGTAATGTTGGTACAGACTTTGGTATTAGTGAATGGTTAAATATAGGAATGCCACCAAGCAAGCTGGTTTTGGGTTTTCCTTACCATGGATATGCATGGAAATTGGTGACCAATCAAGATAATGTTGTTGGTGCATCGGCTTCAGGTACAGCGGTCACCATGGATGGTCCCATGGGTTATAAAGCCATCAAATCGTATATTGGAGATTATGGTTATGATAGTCAAATCGCTTGTGTTTGCTCCCTTTTTTGCCACCCATGGTGGCCTACTTTTCAAAATCTTTTAGATCGGGGATTGCGGGAAAGATGTTGTCAACTATGGGCTCTTTCCTGCTGCTTAGCTTCCCAGTATGTTAGTGTTGTTCTCATTCAACGACTATAAAATATCTGTATCGATCGACACTGATTAATTTTGAAGTGTAGTTATCTTCGTTAATGCTAGTTTTGTTTTGCAGCTTATAAAGAAGGATGGGAAATGCGTGCATTGCAGAGGGAGTTGATCGGCTGTGTAGTATTGATTACCCACGTTAATGGATGTTTATAAATTGATAATGTTAGTGATCAATTTATTATTTTTGAAACTTTAATGGGAAAAACGAATACTTACTCAAATTTTAATGACCATTTGTGTAGTTTACCCTAAATTAATTCTTGACTTCTGGACTAAACTATTTTAAATATATTCACAAATAAAAATAAATATTCTAAAAATTTAAATCGAACAAGCTTTCTTTCTCTTAATAGAGTGGAGAAATTCCTTAACAACAACTATTTTTTCATAACTGTGATATGAGCAATTGTATCAATAAACACAAATAACTGAAAGTACGACTACAACTGATTAGTGTTTAAATTATAAATTATTTTATGATTAATTACTCTTTTGATTAGATAATTTTAGTTGTTAACTTGGACATTTTCAATCATTTTCGATGCAGAACATTGAATTCCAAAAATTATGTTAAGAACAACGAAATCGTGCAAATTTTTTTATTTTTTTAGATTCATGGCCAAATTAGTGGGCACGACTTAGGACATGACACACCCGACATGGCATCTAGTCAGCGATGATGTAGTGATGATGTGGGAGCTAACATGGGGATGACATGGCGTGGCAGGTGACATGGCACCCAGTCAACAACTTCTAAAAGATGGATAGACGGCTAGGGCATTTTAAGCAATTTAAAATTCAAGTATTTGGGATTTATCTTTTTATTTTTAGGATTTAAATTTAAATAATTATCTTTTATTTTTCAGCTATTTTTAAGGTTTTTAGAAGGCTATAAATACCCCTTGGGGCAAGCCTAATGGAATCATCCTTTCTTTCTTTAGTTTAATAAAAATTCTTTTCTTTTCTTTAATTTTATTTCAAGTCGAGAGCTAAAGCGATGACTCAATTCCAACTTGAGAATTGAAAAGCACTTGAATAACTTGGGAATGTCTCTCTCAATCTATGTGCTTATTTTCAAAATCAAAACAGTTTTCAAAATCAAATATTGACTTTGGTCAAGATGTTGTGATTAAATGTGTGGGAGGAATGATCGGCTTATTGAAAGTACATTCGACTTCTTGGGAACACGCTTGGCAAGATTATCTTGTTATGAGAGAATTAAGATCGGAATTATAGTTATTGAAACAACAATCCGAGTCATTCTTCACGAACTTAAACGGTTATTGAACTAAGACAATTGATGTTGATCAGATCAATTTTCGAAGTTGAAATCAAATATTGCTTTGGGTATTCGGTATACAAAGAAGAGTCACGAGGATTGTCGTTGTAGATAAAGTAATTGACGTGAATCTCAAAGGGAAAATCTAATTCGATGATCCGAAGGAAATTGAGTCAAAGCGAAAGCGTAAGGTTGATTTTACCATATTGAATTTTCTTTTAAACTTTCTTTTTAAATTTGTTTTTAATCTTTTTTGAAATATTTTTTTATTTTTCTTCGTTCTATTTTATTTCTCTTCATCTATAAATCCTCACCATTACTCAAATTCTACTCCATCCACTTCATGGCACAAAGATTAAACAAAGCACGAATAAATAAAAAAGTTTCCTTAGTCACAGTGGGATCTACCCTTACTTCTTTTTTATTACGTTAAATTTCCTTTATTATTAATTGAGAAGAATGATTATTTTGACCCGAAAAATGACCGCATCAACAATTTAAATCCCTGCACAACCAATAGTATATTTACTGCATATATAGTAATTAAACAACAATCGTTTTAGAGGTCATAAGCTGAAACCAAGAGAAAAATGATTCAAAAGCCCTTTAGCAAAGAATTTATGCTTAAACCAATAGAACATAAAGCAATTTGATTTGAGAAATACACATAGAAGGCTAATTAGCCTATGCTTAAACGCGTAGGATACTTCAACTAACCAATGACCCAAATTCTATTTGGTCCGCTCTGACAAGTTCGTGGTACGACCCGCTTGGTCAAAAAATAATCATGATAATCGTAGAATTTTTCACGTATTTTTTTTTATACTTTTCAGCCACTTGAAGTTATGAAATCAGAGTTGCTACACATATATGTTTCACATGAAGAGATTCGTACTATGTATTGTTTAGTATGACTCCATATAGAGCTTCGGGTCCGAATGATTTTCAAGCTTGTTTCTTTCAAAAGAAGTTGGAGATTGTGAAAGGGGAGGCGATAGCGCTCGTCTGTAAGGCTTTTAAAAAAATGGATTGTTTCGATGGGAATTAATAAAACCTTTATTACCGTGGTGTCTAAGGTTGATCATCCTGAAGCTATTAGTAAATTGCATCCAATTAGTTTCTGTAATTTAATCTGTATGATTATTTCCAAGTTAATTGTTTGTCGCCTGAAAACTATTTTGCCGCTTTTGATTTCCCTAAATCAGTGTAGTTTGTCTTTATCGTAATATAAGTTCGTTATTTTGATAGTAGACCTCTATTTATATCCCTAGATAAAAATCGAGGGGCGTGGGATATGCAAAATCTCTTAGGATTTGGGAGGCAAGCCTTGGGTTCAATGTGAATGCTACATTTATTACAAGTTGATTAATGGTCAGTAAGATGTGAGAATCCAGAAAATAGAATACGATGTTGGATTTTATATTAGGAGTAAACTTTTAAAATTTTAAAAATGATAAATTTATAAAATTTTTGACACAGTGAAAAGAACTTATTAATAAAAATTACATGCAAAAAATTTAAAATTATATTAAAATTTAAAGTATGAAATTATAAAATTTTAGAGGTTAGTAAATTAGATAATCAATAATATAAACACGCATATATATAATATCTAAATTATATGAGAATTTGAAAATTTTAAGAAAATATCATAATTTTGAAATTTTAAAATTATCATATATTTTAAATTTTTTCTTTGTATTTTCTATTGAAATTTGTTTTCGCCCCTTGAATTTTATAAGTTCAAGTTCGTCCCCTAAAATTTTATAAGTTTAAATTTATCCCTAACATAAAATCTTGTGCCTATACTTAAAACAAACATGGTCTACCCAACTTCTCCCATGTGTTTTTGGGTTAGTATTGATAAAGCATAGAAATATGCAATCATGTAATTAAAGAATCTTAAACCACAATGTGATAAAATGATTTGATTCTCATCTAAAAGGACTAGATTTTAGAATAGAAAGGCTAGGCAGTTAAACAATATCGCGCATGACAAACTTTATTATTAGACAATGCAGTAAGGAAATTACAAATAAAGCCCCAACTGGTACATAACACTAAAACATGCATGTCCAAACAAACCAAAGCACACCATAATAATTCAACCAAACTACTGTAGGCCGTGGACTTAGAGGTCGCATCGCCTATTATTCCACAAACAAAATCACACAAGCAACCCTTCAAAAAAGGAAGAAGAAAAAACCAATCACACAAGCAAACAAACAGTACATTCATTCATTCATTTATTTATTTCACAAGGATAATATGAATGATTGGCTAGCGTCGGAAACTCCTGACCTGGCTCGGTGCTTCAACCTCATCCTCTCGGAGCTTCACCAAGGTGTAAGTGGCGGAACCGATCACGGCTCCCAGTGTGGGTGCTATCAAGTAAATCCACAATGCCTTGTAGTTTCCGGCTGCCACTGCTGGCCCCAATGTCCTCACTGGATTCATTGAACCCCCGCTACTTGGCCTGCAACACAATGTCCGTTGAGAACACTCGACTCTACTAAAAAAATATTAAATTTTTGACTTAATTTAACGTTAAAAATATCTATTCGTAGTTTTATCTTTAAACTAATTATATATACTAACTACTTCTAATGTTAACAAAATTATTGATTGTTATTTAAATGTGAATGTGTATTATATAATAATATGATGGGATATAAATGATATTTAGTGTTGGATTTAAATAATATAATAATTTAACTTTGAAATATAAAAAGGATTATAAACAAATTGAGATAACGAAAATAAAATGACTAATCTTTCAATTTTATTTTAAATAATGATTGCGAGAGACGTAATCAACATTACTAATTATGTCTACACATAAGTGGTCCCATGACAATTAATAATTTTTTAACGGTTTTATTAATAGGGGTGAGATTAGATTATGTCAATAGTTTGGAGATGAAACTGAATTTTTCAAGATCAAATTCTCAAAGAATGAGAGTCATAATTTGAAAATAAAATTAATATATTAAAGATTAATTTAAAACAAACAGCATTTTTCATAATTTGAGAATTAATAATTTGAGAATAAAAACATAATCTAAAAATAAATTTACGATATTTATAAACTTAAAAATCAATCAAAACAAGTCTTATTTATTAGAGATTAAATGTGTAATTACCCTCTTTTCTATGAAATGTCTTTGCATCTACTCTATCAATTCACTAGTAAATTAAGACTCGCACCCACAGACATATGATTTATGTTAGAAAAATTGTACTTAAAATTTTTAAAAGAACATGAATTTAATATTTAAAAAAATAAAAATAAATTATAAATAAAAACATTATCTCTATTCGCTTCCTTCGATCAAACTCTCTCTATATATTATATCTATGTTCACGCGGGCTGGCAAGTTGCAACCGACCTCGAGGGCGTATCACGACGTGGTTGGTCGCTTGCTAGCTACAGAATACTTCCAAAGTGTCACACCAAATTTAGAATAATGGCCGGTTCAAGTCTCTTGTCTTATCTAATAATTTAATTTTGGTCAATAATTTTATTTTTAAAAAAGTGCATTACAAATATGAGGAATTATTTTTAGGAGAAATTATTTTATAGACCTGATTTATTATGTCAATTATGATCCCAATGAATGATAGTCATATATAAAAAATGAGATAAATATTCACCTTGAAAAAATTAATGTGATATTTGTTAAGACCACATATAATATGATGGGCCAAACCATCTAATAATTTTTCTGTTTTGAGCGTTATGTTAATGAACATTACTGACACAGTTGGCAAATTAGTCAGACTTATTAAAGTATAGTTATTCCCTTGCGTATTAATGTTAATAAATACAACTTTTGACCCTTTGTGTAAATTAAGTTGTATAAAATGTCATAATCCCCATCTAACATTTCTTGATCATTTAATTTTCCGTACGACAAAGTAGAAGGGAATTGATAATTCTTACCCGGCGACGAGGATGTTGAGCATTACTGTTGCCCCAACTGCTATTCCTGCCAGCTCTCCCACCTGAATGATAAACATGTTTGATTATTTTCAACTATTTTTATTTTCATTCCGAATTGTTAAATTTGACAGTGTAAAGGTGACTTTACGGCGCGAGTGTCAGTGGCAACAGCGGTGACGACAAAGAGGAGATTAAAAGTAATGAGGAACTCGAGTGCGAAAGCCTGTCCGTAGTTGACGGTGGGGACGGTGACGCCACCAGACATGAAGGGATGAAAGACTCCCTTGAGAGCGAAGGAAGCGCAAATGGAGGCAGAAACCTGAGCCGCTATGTAGGCCGGAACCTGAGTCCAGGGGAAATGACGACAGGCGGCGAATGCAATGGTGAGGGAAGGGTTCAGATGTGCCCCGGAGATGTGTCCCGTTGAAAAAATTATTATCATCACGGCCAGCCCCGCGCATGCGGCATTTCCGATCAGTGACTCGGCTCCCCCATATTTCTGGTTCACTATAGGTCCCGCTGTTGCCGCAAATATCAGGATAAAGGTTCCCACAAATTCTGCCCCCAGCTGCAATATAAACCCGTACACGATTGTAATTAGTGCAGCTCATTGTTTCATGATTTATCGCACATGTTTCAAAATTTTGAATTAAATTATTCAACTCAAGTCAATATTATACTTTTTAAATTTAAATGAGTAGAAATTCGATCAAATCAATTAATTTAGAACATGTATTACAAATATCAATTATGAGACAAACCTTTAATTTAATTTACATTATTTTTAAAATTTCGAATCATTGACCTTACTTAAAAAAATTAAATTTCTCATTTTGTTAGACCAATTGATTATAAGTAGATTATTTTGAATTCTCTATAATTAATTTAGGTTAGATATTACAAAAATCGATTATAAGAATAATCATTTCAATCCAATTTATATCATTATAAGGATAAAAATTCTTTATCTTACTAAAAAATTATAATATCTCACTCTATTAGACTAAATGATTGCAAGTATATCATTATGAATTCCCTGCAATTAATTTAATGTAGTTATAGGAAAGATCATTGAGTGTTTATACTATTTATCCAATTTTACTTAAAGAACTTATTGTTATTAATAAATTGTTATGCTAGAGGAACTCATTTCTATGGAGAGGGGCCCGTTCTGATGCAAAGGCTTATATAACGCAGGGAAGGAGTAAACACCTAGCAGACACTGCCATATGCTGTATCATATCTGACGTAATCCAGTCTTAATATATTACAATTTGGATTCAATATGAAACCGAAACCATAATAATTGGTTAAAAAAATCACCGGAGAAAGAGAGAGAGAGATCGCGGCGGCGCACCTTTCGGGTAAGGGAGATGTCGGGCACAGAGAAGTCGGTGAAGCATGTGTGAGGCTGTCCCCACGTCGGGGCGGTCACAGGAAAGCATTTGCATCGAGGCATTGACTTCCGATCATAAGACAATGAGTCCACCCTCATCGCCGTGAACAGCGGTCCACCTGGCGTTCCCGGCGTCGCCGGGGCCGATGCATTCGGGGTTGTGATATCTTCGTCCGGCATATTTTCTTCACTAAAATCAGTGCTTTTCTCTTCTTTTTTTTTTTTTTTAAAGAATTGGTATTCAAACGGTAGCTAGGAGAAAACGACTCTTACATGATTCGTAAGCTTTTATAAAGGTGTAGCTACACGGTTGTTCTAATTTTCTCCACGATCAGCAAGAATCAAGAACAAGAATATTGAACTAATTCTATGGAAACATTATGATGTAAACTACAGATCCTATATACTTTTTTTTTTTTGGTTTTGGATTGATAGAAGAGATGGAAACACTAGTTACATGCTGTGCAGGCTTTTATAAATGTTTGGCTAAGGAATAGGAGGGATGAAAGTTGCCAGATTACAAACTACAGCTACCTATATAGATAAACCAAAAGCTTCAAGCCTTCAAATACTTGCATAGAAATTCAACACAATTTTTTGGGTTTTTTTTTTAACAGGATTTGAACTAGGAAAAGCGAAACTTACATGCTTGATATGTTTTTATAAAGGTGTAGTTAAGGAAGAGTGGGAACGGACAAATCCAGCTTCAAATGAAAGAGAACAGAAAGTTCAGAAACAATGGAAGATCATGTTCATATGAGCTGCTGATAAAAAGAAAAAGAAGAGACAGTTTGAAGATTGCAGAAGAGGAATGACGATATGAGGGGGAGGAATCGGACGGAGCAAAGGGTAGCCTAGTTTAGAGTGATGGGATAAATAAGAAATGCAACGGACCCCGTATTTATAACACAAATAGAGGCTGGTAGGGTTTCTATATTTGATTGGTCAAATTATGATTTTGGTCTCTCTATTATGATCACTTTTTGGATTTAACATTTACACTTTAATTTGATATGATTTGATCACTCTCTTTTACAATGTTATAATTTGTTGGTATATAACTCATTAAGTGACTTCAGTGGTAAAAGAAAGTGTTGTTCTCCCTAGATGACTCGGGTTTGAGGAGTTAGGTCTGTAGTATGTGCATGTTGTTAATGGTTAAGAAAAATTCTAAACATATATTATCTTATAACCACTCCAAATTATTCAAAAATAATAATTTGTTGGTATAATGATTATATATGGTTATGACCCATTGATCAATTAATACATATGTGTAGGGATGAATCTAGGTGGGGCAGTCACCCCTAAAAATTTAAAATTACTATCTATTTTAGATTTTATCTATGTATCTTCTGTTGAAAAAATTGTTTTCGACCCATAGAATTTTATAAGTTCAATTTCACCCCTAACATAAAATTATGTGTCTGTCCCAGCAGATGTGATATCGAAAGACATATTATATAAGCGATCCTTTCAATCTAACTTAGACCATTCATAATATCATGATTCAAATCTTCAATTTACATGTTGGCATTTCATATTAAATTTACTTAGAATCATCATTTCAACCCATCATAGTGACAAGTACTCAGGAAACTTAATTGGAATAGGTAACCATTGATGACTATATAAAAGATCAAATTATATAGGGCCTAAACCTCAATGTCTGTCATAGTTAAGGGACCTAAACCAGAATTTAACATTTTCATAAAAAGTCAATGCACGTTACTTCGAATACTTCTTTCATAAAATTGCTAGAGTCACACCGCTTCCTTCAACTACAAACTGCCAGTTCACCGTTGGATCATGTTGATAAAAAAAGTACAGATCTGACGTCAAGCTGACCAAAAAAGACAATGTAATAATCGTATCCAAATCTCTACTTGTGGGTTGTGACAGCTCTTTGGGCTTTAACAATGAATGCTAAAGAGACAAACGCCTTGGGTCACAAACGTTGAAGAACCGTCCGATCATGGGTTTTGATGGATGGATTTCGTCAACAATGTATACCTCCAGGGCCCACTGTGATGACAAAGACACACACCCCACATGAACTGTCACCACGTCACTTTACCTTGTATTTTAATATTAATACAGTACCCGCCCAATAATGATAATAATGGTACTATAATCTTAATATACATCTAAGAAAAGACGCTATCAGAAATTTAATATTTTTTTAATATTTCTAGTAAAAAGTTACTTGAAATATTATTTTTTATAAAAAATGTTAATATTGAGTGCTATTTAAAATGTTTAACATTTACGGTAAAGTGTTATCTAAAATATTATTTTTTTAACTAAAATGTTAATATTTAGTTTTACCAAAAAATATAGTTAACGAAATTAACATTTCCTGTAAAAAAAATAATGTTTTAAGTAGTGCTTTACCAAAAATATTAAAAAATATTAATATTTTTGGTATAATATTTTCTTAATCGTATATTAAGGTTAACGTACAATAAAATTACCCAATAATAATGTAGTAAACAAGTGCCTTCAGCATGATATATCGAGTAGAATACTCTTTAAAAATTTTAATTTTTTTATATAATTTAAATATTTTTTCATTATTATCAAAAATTTATTTTTATATCTTTAAAATTTTATAATTATATCTTTTAGATCTTCAATACAATTTTTTAGACCTATAGAGGGCGTCTGGTTTAGGGTATCTCACATTACCAGGGGAATGAAATATCATACTCCCGTTTGATTGACAAACATTCTCAACTGCAGGTAATAATTTATTTTCAACAGTGGTATTTTGGGGGTATATTATCAGGAATATGATTACCCCTTCCCTTAGGTATTGTTACATTCCCTGCGTTTTGGACTAAAATGCCTTTATATTTTTCTTTTCAAAAATATTATTCTTATGTCGTTAAATAAAAAAAATTCTACGAAGGTTAAATTACAAATTTATCCTTAAACTATTTTAGATTTACAAAAAAAATCCATAATTAGAATTTTATATGAAGTTTTAGGAGTTAAAATAAAATTTTACCTTTTCATTAAACCTATTTATCTTTTTAATTTTATAAAAAAATTATATGAATTTTATGAATTTAAATTTTTTAAAGAAAATATATAAATTAATTATAGTAAAATTATAATAGAATTGAATTTGTTAAGAAAACAAATATATAATAAGGACAATTTGATAAAATATACATTCTAATATATTTTTTACTTCTTTAACCAAACATTGTAATCTTACATTTCTACTAAACGAACCAAACACAAAATACAATATTCTCAATAATCTTATTCCCATCGTTAATCTTATTCCCGCCGGTAATCTTACCTTACGTGAACTAAATACAAACTTAATATAATATTTTATATCTGTCGTGGGTCCAATCCTAAACCAGTGATTAAACTACAGCCACCCATCCATCTTAAAGAAAACAAAACAGGTATATATAATAATGATAATAAGTAACAAAAGCAAACATATCTAAATGAACTTTATTTAGGCATTCGCCCCCAATCATCATCAACCTTTCTGAAAAATCATCCAAATGAAATTTTGGTTAAGCTATGGTAAGGAAAAGCAATGGAATATATATATATATATGATTAAATATAAAAAATGTGTATAACATATGTATTTGGTTTCATTTTGGTGCTTAGTTTTTTTTATTTTAGTTTGATGGCTAACGTTTTATTTCGTAACTCATTTTAGATAAGACAGTAATAAACAGTTAATTTTAATCGTTAAATACCATATGACATTTGTTGAATATTATAAAATGAATTTTTTAATTAAAATAATAAGAATTTAATTAATGGAAATTGAAAAAAAAAAGTTAAAACTTTTTGCCTCCACCTACCACCTTAAAATCGGGTATCCTCATCCTCACCACCTATCGCCTCCTCTGCCTCCTTTCTTCTTCCACCACCACCCCTACTTCCGCCTCATCCATCCCTCTTGCCTTCATTTCCCATATCTTATCCTCTAAAAAATCTCTCAAGTCTGTGTTCCACTCACCCAGGATCCGCTTCCAAGTCATCGTCTCATCCGATGGTTGGGTTTTCGATTCGGGTTCTGGGTCTGGTTCCAGTATAGGGTTGGGTTCGAGATCAATTATTATGAGGACATTGGTTAGAGGGAAAGAGGATTGTGGTGGTTTTTTGGTGAAGTTTTGTGATAGTTGGCGGGCGAGAGCTTGGGAGAGTAAAGATACTTCAGGTTCAAATTGTGGTTCCTGCTCGGGTTTAGTTTTTGGTTCAGGAGCAAGCACAGGAACAGGTGGGGAGTTGTACTCGACTGACAGGTCCGTGATAACTGTTGGGGTGACGGGGATTTTAAGGAAGGAGCAAGAAATATGGGAAAGTATTGATAAGAGTTTGCAGGATGCTTTTCAGGACTCAAATGCTTTTCAGGAGGATGAAATTGAATTTCTTTGAAAACCTGATACTAAAGTCCCTCACCCAATGCTAACGGCAACGTAAAACGACAGAACAAGGGTACCGATTGAACGGAGACGACGAGATGGACACAAGGACACCGGCGGTGAGAGTCACGGAGGGCGAAACGGAGACCAAACGGAGGGAAAACACAATAACACTAGAGAGAAAAAATGTTTGGGTAAAAATGATTTCATATAACACAGGGAAAATAGTGGAAAAGGAAGGGATTTTAGGTTTTAACCCAATCATGAGAAAATTATGCCTTAAGCCCCTGAACTTCTAGAAATTAATGTTTAAGCTTATTATTTTCAAATATTTCAATTTAGCCTATAACAACTAGGGTGTGATAGCTTTCCTATCTTAAGAAAATTTCGGCCTCGAAATTTTATCTGGTATTAAAAGATACGGAAATTGCTCCACCATCGACCTTCGAGTCCCTCAAGTGGCATCTGAAAGATTACAGTGACTCCATAAAACCTTAACCATCGGTATATGTCGACTTCTCATAACTCGATCCTCGTAGGTAAGATCTGAATAGACTCCTCCTCATAACTCAATTCAATATCCTTAACAGAAATAACATGGGATGGGTCAGAACGGTAACATCTCAACATAGAGACATAAAATACATCATGAATGTGTTTAATCTCAGGTGGCAACTCAAGCTGATAACCAACGGGACCAACTAGGTGTATAATCTGATAAGATTTAATAAACTTCAAACTCAACTTGTCCTTACGGCCAAACCTAAGAACTTTCTTCCAACACCATAGAGCACACAAATGCAGAATTTAACCAGTTTTTTCCTTAACCACTCTACCAAATATTTTTCACTGTTGGTAGTTTTTTTTTTTTTTAAATAATTGGATTAAACTTCATTCCATATGCACATGAAATATGCGAAAAGTTTGGACATCACAATTGAAAAGCGGAGACCCTCCCTCCCACGAAAGTTAAATAAATAATGAATACTTTATTTAAACCTGCCAACAAAGTCACAATAAGTAATTCTCTAGGATTAAATAATGCCACCTAATTGCTTCCTTCCGAGATTTATTCGATGGGACCACCAAGGCTGCCACTCTTAAGTGGGGATTATGCCTTGCTAACTGTGTGGGGTTTGGCACTTAATTCGAAAACCTACATCCTTAATTATTCTTCACAATGCATGATTAAGCAGGGGATTAGCTGGAGAATACTTAACCGACCATGTCACAAGCACCTTCCTAGTTAACTTGGCAACATCAAACAAGTATATTTATTAAGCCTCAAAGGGTGTGATTAATGTTGTCGATTGTTGAACTAATCTATGGGGTAAAATTAAATATTATTTTACTTAGAGGAATTAAATTCAAACAGTTGTGTCTATGGAATGTGCACATTGTTAGTAGACTAATTTTTTTTATTAAAGTACACAAATAGTCCTATTATAGGGTATTGTTTTGTCCAATCTTTCGACTATTAAAAATTACAAAATGATTATAAGAAGTTATTTTATTGAGTCCCTCAACTATTAAAAGTTACAAAATGATCACTCAACTATTCATATATATCAGATTCGTCATTTTTTGTTAAAACATTGATGACAATCTGAGTTGGACATTAATATATTAACTAAGATATGATAGTCGTTTGAGATTTTAAGATCAGATTTTATCATATCACAGTCAACAGGTTAACGTCTAGCTTAGACCGCTGTCGATATTTTAATAGAAATGAATGAATTTGGAACATATGAATAGTCAAATGGTCATTTTGTAACTTTTAGCAGTCGGAGGATTCAACAAAGCAATACACTATAGTTAAGGGACCATTTCATAACCTTTAATAAATACTACTTTATAATCACTCTAACTAATAAATAGATTGATCGAAATCTTCGTAGCGGTTGCCAATTTGTCTCCGGTAGCCTATCGATGGAGCAATTGTTTTCCTTTTGAAACTAGGAAAGGGATCGAATTCCGGAAAGAAAAGATTGATAATTGAAGGTTCGTTACACGTGCACTTTGTGGACAAAATGTAGTGGAGATCCTTTTTGTTTGAGGCTTTTAATGAATATATTTGAAACCACCACTTCTGTCCTTTCCTTCTTCACATTCTACAATTTGATCTGTTAGTTTGGTCATCAAATCATAGAAGTACTTACATATGTAATCAAATATAAAATTTGTATTTATATAATAAATGTGTTTAGAGCAAACACATTTAATCAAGTAGTCAAGTTGTATATCTTTGTTTCTTCATATTCTCTAAGGTTATGAGTTCCAGTGATGGAGCCACATATACTTGAGGGTGGGCACATGCCCATCCTGAAAGCCAAATTTTCTCCAATTAGTTCTTTATTTTACTAATGGTGCCTAACAAGCGTCGTTTTACTCGTCAAAATAAAATAAAATAATATCCTCTTCAAATAAAATAAAATGTAGTATAGTAAAGAGGGTCGATCCACATGGACTTAGTAATTTCTGATGCAATTCCGTGTTGATTTCAATCCAGGAAATTGTAACAAAAATAAATAAAAATAAGGGGTGGGCATGAATGAGATGAAGAAAATGAATGTAAAAAAATAATGATCAAGGTAAAATAAATGGAAGTGTAAATAAAGATTAAAAATAATAATGAGAAAATCACCTCAAGCTAGCTTTGTTTCAATTTCATTGATCATCGAAATGGATTTTTGCTCCGGGATTCATGTCGGTTACAGTCTACAAGGCCCAACCCATTATAACTTGCCTTTCTCTCATGTAACCAATCTTCCCAAGTCTATCTTCGAAAGATGATTCTTAAGTGAATTAACCACAACTATTGTAGTTAAAACAATTAGATTAAAAAGAACTGGAAAGGCCTGACTCGGACGTTTTCTCGTCGAGAATCAATTCCAATCTCATTTTCCCTTAGCGGGCCATCGCTAATCATGTTCACAGGAAGTTGAATTACCACAGGCCGATCCTTCCTCCCAACTATATATTTGAACAACGTTTAGACCAACGTCAACTTTTTTGATTTGAAAGCGTTTTAAAATTGTAAGTAAGGTCGATTGCCAAACTCTTTATCCAGAAAAACAAGAATGTATCCAGGAGGGATTAAAGCGGTGTTCAATTCTCACACATGGAATTGATTTGTACTAGCTCTCGGCTTAAAAGAAATTGGCCAAGCATGACATGATTGATCGTGCTTAGCATGTTTTGAAAAATAATTTAAAAGCACAAAGTAAAAGAAAGCGAAAATGAAATAAAAACTTTTATTAAAATGAAAGCAAAGTAGCAAAAACAAAGTTAAAAAAAAATGAAGATGATCTAAGCCATACCCTTCACCCTAAGAAGGGTATTTATAGGCTTCCAAACCCTAAAGATGACAATGAAATTAAATCAAATTAAAAGATAATTCCTTTAGTTTTGAAAATTAAAATCCAAATCCCCTAAAAAGCCTCCACATATCGTGTTGAGCTATTTCTAGAATATTCTTTGCGCTAACTCGGACCTTTTAGAAACTACCACGTCAGACCCGCGTCGTGCCATTGTCTTCAGCCATGACTAGAAAATAAAAAGGTGCAGAATAAATCATTTTACTGCTAATTGTAGTGAGTTGACCTCTTCATAGAAAATAAACAAACACAACCCAATTCAGCAGTGATATATTTGTAAAATGAAGAATTTAGCAGCCCAATTCAGCAGTGATATGTTTGTAAAAGGAAAAATTTAGCAATAAAAAAGAGTCAATCTCAAGCACTAATCAAATTCCCCCTCACTTGTCTCACACTTCTCTTCAAGTATGCTTGAATTAAACTAATAAAGAACTTAATTGTCCTTCCCCCAAAAACATTGCATGCTTTAGCAAATCATGAAAACCAAGTTCACAGAAATAACATGAATTAGACACCGATCAAGTGAAATGTCATAAGTAATAACTAATCAATCAACCTTTCAATTGTCTATCATTTAGCAATTTAAATTCATACGTAACCTAATTCCTCACCAAGATTCACTCAAATCACTCAATGTGTTTCGGGTATAGAAAATAAGTTTTCTCAAAGTCAAAATTAAACAAGGATCTCCATAGGCTTGTGACATGATCAATTCTCCACTACTTATAAGAAATAAGATGCAAGATCATTAGGACTTTAGAAAGGGTGTAATGGGGCTTAGGTAAAGGGTAAGAAAAAGGCTAGAATAAAGGGTTAAAATCAAGACAAATAATTTATAAATTAGGCACCCAAGGTTCCTAAACAAATGAAACAACAAGAATATGTACAAAAGCAAATCAAATTCAATAATCATTTTATTTCTTTCGATTACCACTATTTTTTTGAAATTTTTTATGTTTTTTGTTTGTTTGTTTAGAAACTAGGGTGTAAATGAGCTTTAATCCTTTGTCTTGACAAGGGTACAAAGAAGAGGTGAAAAAGGTTTTATGGCTTATAATGAAGGTAAAAACAAGGAAAATGGGCATAGACTTCAACTTGGTTCACTAGTGGAAAAAGAAAGGGTAAGCTTTTTAGTTGGGTAAAAATGGGGGTAAATAATAATGCCTAAATCATGTCAATGCATCAAATTTCACATCTAATCTCAAAATGCATCCAAGCCATAAGTTCTATATTTCCATCATTCGATTTGACACTCTCAAGCAAGAAAAAGCATAAAAATAAGGACATGTATGCTCAAGGCTCAAAATCTCACAAATTGGCTAAACAATCAAGCTAGGCAATGAATTCAATTAACAAAATCAAGACATATTGCAAAAGGTCCTTATTTTAGTTTCCTACTTATACAATTCATCTATCAAGCATGCTCAAATTCAAGTATTCATATGAGCTTAAATTATTACAACATGCTAATGGCAAGTAACAGAAAGAGTTCATTGTAATTAATCATTTAACCAGTCATACCGTGAAACAAGTGAGACAAGCAAGACGAAGTTCAATTAAACCTTTACCCCATCAGTTAATCGTATTGTTCAAATAAAAAAAAATCAAATAAAAGCATAAAGAGAAGGGTAAAGGGAACTCCCCATGATCAATGGTGACCGCGACTAGGGTGGAGGTAGGAGAGAATTTTCGTGATTTTCTCCTCAAGGGAGTGGACACGTTCGGCAAAATTGGGAACATATGGTTGTGGAGGTGGGCAAGACGGTGGTGGTGATTATGGTGGTGCATGGCGATGAGTGAAGACCCGTTCAGTCCTTGTCATCACTCCTTACGGA